TCCTGAACATAACCCGATACGAAGAATATGAGACACCAAGAGGTACGAATAATATGATAGACACAATGGACGACTAACTTCTCTGTCGGCGGAACATTGCCAGTTTGCGTTAGCGGTTAATTGCTCAGAAGCACATCAATGTCGCGAGGCATTTCGCAGATATAACGAACAGAAAGATTATTTGCAAAATCTTGAGCGACGGTTAAGCACTTTGGAGCGGTCGCTTCTCTTCAACCCAAGATCTGGAGAAATCCCACGAACTTAAGTGGTACTTTGTCACAAGGCTTTCATAAACAACAAGTCCAATGAGAGATGTTCCAGAAGCTCAAGGTACCGACTGGTGGGTTTTATCCCGTGGTTTGATCCAACTTATCGGCTCCCGCCTGCAATGGGCAGCTACCTACCCCTTTCTTCCAAATCATCGATGAACGAAACTGCGGCAGCTACAAACACCGTACAACGAGTACGCGGTTATTACAGCTGACAATAATCAGTTGGATCGTCGGTCTAAATAAAAATAGTATTGGTAGAGTAGGTTCCTTCGACAATAGTTGTAATCTTGGAAACTGATGTAACATGAATCTGGCAGTCTTCCTCTTGCGTTACCTCGGACGAGTTGGCCGATCATCGTGTGAGGAATGAAGTTGCCTTCAGCCAAGACCGAGTGTGCATCGGTTGTCTCTTCGCAGTGCAACAGGATTTCGGGGATCATCATGACTGACAATGGTCGCTTTGTATCCTACTTTAGGAATGATTGTGTTAAGATAGCACTAAGTCCCTTCCCCGTCCACCTTTATTCTTTTTACAATAAGGCTTTCAAATAAGTCATGGTTGTACGGCAGTGAAGCATCGGTGTTGAACACTGATGTCATGCTGTCGATGATGATGATCCTACTTTAGTGAAGTTAGGTGCATCAACTGAGAACTCAACAAATTACTCAGCGAAACGGTGAATCAAAGAATACAATGAAATCTCGGGTTTATCAAGGTCACTTTGTCCTTGAACTTTGCCAGCATTTCTGTTGGTAGCTTGTGAAGACAGCTCGAGTTTCCAGTTGGGTGGTCCAACATCCGATCAGGACAGAGCTTATGGGACGGAAAATATCCGGCAAAAATCCATTCGAAAGAATTTGGTCCATATCATTTTTTTGTTTTTTGTATATGCTTAGATCTAGGAATCTGAGGAAGAATCGAGACGCTCAAATGCGTCGTACCAGGACTTCTGACGAAACCTGTGAACTGAGACGTGGGCCAGCTGCCACACAATACACATTTTTCCTAGACTCCGCGAGCTGAAAACAAATATCGTAGTTTCGCGAGTACTTAAATACCGGTCGTTTCTGTCGTGATGAAAGCATGTAACCACATGCTGAGTACATCTACAACGATGAAGAAATCCTGTCCGTCAATTTCTCCAGCCAATTTGATATAAATCTGGGACCACGGCTTCTGAAGTTTCGACTAAGTCCGCAGCTACTGAATGGGTAATTTCCGTGCTAGTGGGCAGCGGAAACAACTATGATGTACTTTCCCTAGTCTGATCCACACTGGGCCAACAGACTTAACTTTCGGCAACGAAACCTCAGTGTAGAACGTCATCAGTACCCAGATGCCATGGGAAATTGGATAAGGCAGGTGACTGTTGGCAAGGAGACTCACGCGACAGGCGATCTAGCTGCCTGTCATGACAGTCGGGCTATGCACTTCGCAGGTCCGGGTCTTCGCAATACGATTTATCGTATCATAGGAACTTGTTGTTTGGACCTTTCACATTATTCGTTCCTGAATTAATCCCTGCCGCTAGTTGTGCATCTTAATGGCTTGTCTCCTGTTAGTGAAAACCCTTGAACACTCCCCAATCGTAGAAGCACATCCCGTTATTAGTAATTAGCCAATAGGACGGTAGACATTTTATTGTAATCACCCCTCAGTGACGCTCGTGCATCCTATATGTTGCCTTCAACACATTCTTCCTTTCCGGGGGGAGATGGCCCAAGTGGTTAGAGCGCGAATTTACTGACCGGAAGGTCCGTGGTTCGAACCCGACTTCCGCCACTCGACTTCCCCTGTCTAGGCTTGGTCAACCTGGCAGTATTCCAGCCCTCATGCTTCCTTCGGGCGGCATAGCAGTTAGGCACCGAAAGGGTGCTATAGCTGAAACTATTTATTTTATGGTTTTTTATCATTCCCTTCCAATTTTTCCCACTTAACTGTCCATTGACAGTCCTGTATTTACGCACCAATTTATCAGCTCCCACCTCCAATGCGCAGCTACTTCCCCCACCTCCCCAAATCGTCGGTGAACAAGACTATGGCGTCTACAACCACTGTGAAATTACGCGTTCTTACAACTGATGATAATTATGAGGTTTCGACTTTTCATGCCGAACAAAACTCATCACTTTTTTTCGGAACTGTATCTCGGATTCTGGATTGGCAGTCAGTCGCCTGACGTTTGTTGGTTCTTACCTGTCTACAATTTTCCCTCGACTTCTAATAGGGATGAGGCTCGTACGACTGACTCTGCGTTCTGTGGAACTTAGTGAATTTCATCTAGTTTCGATAGATTTGCATTCTTCTATCCCCGCGGACCAAAATAAGCCCTGATTCATGTTTTTATCGTTCCTCTTATTTTAGCCAAGACCATTTCGGTCGCGATTAGGTATATCGTAACTCGCCAGTGTCGTATCCGAACTGCAACATGCTGGAACGGAAGTTGTTCGTTGGAGGTCTCAATCCTGTTACCGACGACTACAGGTTGCGTGAATTTTATTCGAAGTTTGGCGTGGTGACTGATGCTGTTGTGATGAAAGATATTGCGGGGAGATCCAGAGGTTTTGGATTTGTAACTTATGAGGACCCACAGATGGCTGAGGTCGCATGCAACGCCAGACCTCATGAGATCGATGGAAAAATAGTCGATGCAAAAAAGGCTGTTCCTAAGGGAGACGCTCATCCTATACCGGATGTACCTGTTCGGAAAATTTTCATTGGTGGTCTTCGTCGGAGTGTGAAGGATAGCGATCTCTTCAGTTATTTCTCCGAATTCGGCCAAATAGTTGAGGCTGTGGTGATGGTGGACAAAGAAACGAACCAGTCAAGAGGCTTCGGATTTGTGACGTTCGTAGATACTGACTCAGTTGATCGGGTGGCAAACGAAACCCTCCATAGCATCTGCGGCTTTCCGGTAGACGTGAAGAAGGCGGTGGCGAAGGATGATTTAAACGTTCGTAAAAAGCCTTTTGCTGCCCGGTTTGGTTCAGATGCGGGTAAGTAAACATATCTATTTCCGGGTGCCCGTTAGCTAGCTAGTTAGGTTTTGGGGAATGCCTCTCACTCGCAGCACTGCGTTTGACTTTTGTAGGTTACCATCGGGACGCTGAGCGTGGTCAACCGGTCTGGGAACGGCGGATTTACCTTCCCCTATGGAGCTTTAGTTAGGGCCATAGGGGGTCTAGGGCACTCTGTTTAGTCAGTGCTTTACTGCTTGTACCATTTGCAGGACCCAGGTCAGCAACAGCAAATTATCCACACTGGACAGCAAATCAAGGGATGACCTACGGAACCGCTCCACCGTCCTACATGCCACCACCAGTTGCTGCACCAGTTGGTTAGTCTGTTTGTTACTGAGCACTCGTTATTTCAAGGCTCTTATGCTGCGCCACCATTCTGGAGCCAACCACCACCTGTAGCCATGGGTTTTTATCCAAACCAGAATTATACAGGTGGTCCTGTTCGGGAGAACTCTGCCGCTACCGCGGGTGCTCGGGCAGCACCTCATCCTTATGGTGAAGTACATTCAGCCTCAACTAATCTCTCATTTCAGGTCGATAGCCTTCGTTTGATGATGAGCAAAGCGAACGTTCTAATACATATGTGCAATCAATGTTGACTTTTATTTGTGCAATATCCGTTCCGTATTACCTCGCTGGTTACTTATACGTTGCTCCACAGCAGGGACTTATTATAAAAAAATCTTGAGACGTACGTATCACTGGCTGATATTAGGACCAGGCTTGCTTGATTCCACTCGATGTGCGTTAGTCCTACCGGTAATGTTGGGAACGCATTTTCCCCAATTAAAGTAATTTCAGAAACGTGCACGGATTTTATTTTTAAGAGCCTCTAGTGAACTTGTTGATCTGTTTTTCCAACCTTCGACGCCTGAGGACCAGCGCTACAATGATGTGAATTAGTTCCTTCGGCTACAAGCCAGTATTGTAGCCCTAGGAAAACATCAAGCTCTACTGTAACCCCCACTTTGTCGGCGAATATTTTTTGAAGAAACCAAGCCTAGCCAGGGCAGCAAATATTCCAGGGTTCTGTCGTTTATCCATCCCTACATTAGCACCTTTGAGGCGCAAAGTGCATTTGGAAACCCGTTGTGGAGTAATTTGTTTTGTTATGTTTGTGGTATCC